GGCCCCGCCGCCCGCGGGGCCCCGGCTGTTCCGGCTCCTGCCTGCCTTCCCGATGCCGCCTCGGGAGCGCCGGTGCCCGGGTGTCCCTCTCCCCGCTTCGGCTCCCGCCCCCTGAGCCGCGCAAGGTCCTCGGCGTTGGGCGCTGCGGGTGAGGAACGAGCAGGCCGGGGCGAACCGGGCTTCTTCCGGGCGGGTGGCGGCGGCTCCGGGCGTTGGAAGCTGGCTGCGGAGGGCCGGGGAGACCTTCGCCGTGTTGGTTTCCCCGTCGTGGGAAGCTTGCTGTGGTTCGGGCTCGGGAGGCCGAGGTTAAAAAAAAAAATAAAATAAACCTGGGTGTGTTTGTTAGGTTCCCTAACTGGACAGAACCGGGAAGTTACAGTGTGCTAGTTCTGCTGGAGCTGCGTGCTTCTTAATGGAGCGTGCGCTGCTGTTCATCAGGGAGCTAAACCAGTTTGGCTCAGGGTTGAGTTCAGCCGAGTTTGAGGGTTGCGCAGCTTCGTTCCAGATCTGCTTCCGCGGAAGGTCAGAGCCCCGGCAAGCCCTTTAGCTTGAGGTGGAAAAAAATAATTTCGATTTTGCATTGTAGTTCAGAATGATGATTTGTGTTCATGCTCATGCTGTGGAGATACAGGCTGGGTCTGACTCTTTAGTCCCTGATTCTTTTTCTGAGCTTTTCTTTTTCAACCAGTCAACTTTGTCCATTTTCCAGCAATATCTTTAACGTTATTTTTGATTAAAATAAATGTAAGTCATCATGGCTATTTCTGAATGCTTTTGATGTGCCTCGTTTTATACAGTTAGGGGTTGTTACCCTGAAGGGTAACAAGTTCGTTGATAGGAAATTATTGCGTAAGTTTTCATCAGTATTGTTGTATTTGGAATTCAGTGTCGCACCAGTTCTGCTTTCGTTAGTTATTAATTCTCAGGGTAAAATCCTAGCAAATAGAAAGCAGTTTATAAGAGATTATCAGTGATGTCAAAGGAAAAACAATGACTAATGTCTGGATTTGACTTTTAACGTATTGAGTGAGCTTAAATTTGAAACTGCCCATCTTAAATACTAAAGGTAGAACTTAAGTGAACCTGTGCTGATGACTCATCCTACTGAGAGCAGACCTAGTGTACTAGGTACAGCAAAGATGAACCAAGTCATATCATCTACTCTTATCTTGAGTCTATCAAAATAGACTTGTACGAAATACAGTCAATGCAGTATCAGCTATAAAGCACTGTCTGTACTTTGCATTTAGTTAATGAATAGCACTCTCTTTTAGTGAAGATACTTTTTAATGTGAAAATGCTTTAATTGAAGGTCATTCTTTTTATAGAAAAGACTAACTACAAATAGCAAATAAGATGTAAAAAAATTTTTAGTGTGGCATTTTTCTTGTTTTCTCCCAGTTTCTTAAAATGGAATACTTGTTGCTTTTGCTTTATTAATAGAAATCTGCTATAAAGGATAAGTTTCCCCACAGTTTAACTAAAACTTTTAAAATAGGCAACTGTAGAACTGTTAACGTAAGTTTTGCTTTCTGAGTACTTGTGCTAGTGCCTCTAATGTTATATATATGCATATATGTAACATTATAAACAAATACTTTTTTTTCCTTGCCTATGTGATATGTAAATAATTATATGTGTAAGTTTGCCAACTCATTTAACTTTGACAAAGCTGGAAGACTATATCTGTATTGGGCAGACTTACAGTGCAAAATCGGAGGTACTCTTTCCTAAATCATGTATACAGAATCTTTAGGTACTGTATGCATGCATCTTGGCCTTTCAAAGATCCGTGCGAGTAAGTTTGGAACCAGCAGCTCTTTTATCTTAATGCTATGTTCTATCTGTCCTTTCAGTGTTCTCTCTATACTGCTGTTTGAAAGATGTTCATGAGTGGACAGAACATAAGTGAGGAAGAAGACTTAGATTAAAGAGTTAGCTATGTTTTGGGGATTTTGGTAATCTTACTGAGAATACTTCTGTGTTCATATTCCCTGCTGCCCTGGAGTTCTGTATATAAACATCCTCTAAAAACTCACTGTACCAAAGACAATAATTAAAACTTTACCTTAGTTTTTGTAATAAAAGTGCTTAGCACTTAAGTTATGGAACAAAACCGAAAGGACTTGGATAGTATTTCAGTTCAACTTTAGCATGTTACCTGCGAAACAATAGCTTAGATGGCAAGTTAGTTTCTTTGATAAGTGAAACGCAGAGGGATGAAATAACTGTAACGCTTCAGGTGAGCCATACCCAAGGAAGATGAAATTTAAAATCACACTACTTTGTTATTTAGGTGTTTTCAGAACAAAAATCCTGTCCCTTTTTAAAGCATAGATGAGGCATTGTACGGTCTTATGTGTCATGCATGAAAATGAGATTAACTTGAAATGATGGACATAGTTTTTTTAGCTGAATTCTTAAAATGCTAATTAATATTATTTTTAACTTATATTTTAGAAACCTAACATTGAAATATTTAAGAAGCGAATGCCTCTGGATTTTGGAACAAAATTGGTATGTATAATGAGCCTTTGAAAGACTCATCGCTGAACATTTGCATTTTTGTTGTTAGGGAGTGTTTCTGCTTCCTGTGGTTTTATGCCCATGGAAAGGAAGAAGGGAACACATAATAGTCAATGTGACACATAATAGTCAATGTGTATTTGTTAAAAGCAACTTGTTGTTTCAACCCCTTTTTTTTTCCATGAAAAGCTTTATGGCTAGGAGGGCATTAAATAGGTGCTATTTCAGCCTTAGAAACATAAAACTTCTCATGGAGCTCTTCTAAGTAAGCAGAATTGAAAATAAAATACCACAGAACAGTTCAAAAGATGCTGAATGGCTGTACCTGGAGTAACTATTACTAATGTCTTGTCAAAACAGACCTTTGTTTAAAAATCTTTCCATGTGAATCATGTCTGAATCTTGCACTGTTTAGTATTAGTGATCTGGCTGACAGGACGAAGAAATAATGGCATTGAGCATGGAAGGGTTGCCAGTGTGTAAACGCAGATGAATATTTTCAGGAAACATTTCTGAAAAAAAGAGATGCTTTTTGTAGGTGTAAATGAAAGTTATTACACCCAGGCAGGAATAAATTACTATACAAAGACAGTTTAGAGAACAGTAGTTCTATAGGAAGAAAATGTAGAGGTTATACTAATAGAGAAGATGAGGAGTCAACAGTAGATGCCTGCTCAGGAAGGGCTAAGAAAACCACCCGTTTGGGGTTGTATGAAAGAAAGTATAGTCTTCCACAGTGTTGCAGAAGTAATAATTCAGCTAAAGTACTGTATGCAGCTTTGGGAGCTTCATAAAAAAACCTGTGGACTATTGGGAAAGGGCCCAGAGGGTGGCACAGCAGGAGGTACCAAGCACCTAACTTGCAGGGTAATGTTAAGATGTGGGTGCCAAGATAAAGGGATTTGTATCTTTTCCAATTCCAGAGTGTACAAACATAACGGGCTTTGGTAGTCAAAGTGAAGATCTAGATGAAGATCATTAGATAATGAGAGTCCCTAACAGCATCAAAGCACGGCTGCGGTGTTTGTGAGGTTTCCTTTGTAACTATTTCCTGGGAGAAGCTTGGCTGAATTATCTGTGATGAGGAGCAGCAGTGAATGATGCTATACATGGCAAAGGGTTGAAGTAAACGGCTTGTTAAGGTCCTTTTTAGTTTAGTGACATCTTTTTCACAGGTTTTAGATGAGAAAATTGCGAATGCTAGCATTTAAATATTTTAACATGTATTTAGATTACTTCTAGGAAAAAAGACTGTCTACTGAACTCTTGAGGGCTGATGGCAAACACCCTGTTTACTTTTACTGACTATAATTATTGCTTCCATACAATGTACAACTTGGGAAGTGGTGATAATTTTCTTTGGCTGATAACTCCCTCATACTTATGCTTATCTGCTTTTAAATGTAAAATATTATTTCATCTCATGATACCACTTTTAGTGTTTCTGAATATTTAGATAGCTTGTTTGTTACAATAAATACATAACATCTTTTGAGTGCTGTGTGTATGCTGCTTTGGGGAGAAAAGGACTTTTGAGCAAAGAGACAAAGAAGTGTTTCCTTGTGTTTTAGACCAGAGAGTCTGTATCTTGCCAGCATTTGCTATTTCTTGGTTACATCTTAAAAATAAGCAAACAAACTTTGAGGCTAATCTGGCCTTGCTTATGTCCTGCAGGTTTGGGGTTTTGGTTTTTTTTTTCAGAAAGCTTTTTCTCTGCCTCTCCCTGTCTGATAACCTTCAAACTCAGTATATGTTCCCTGTGTTGTCTGTCATTGCACTGTTGCATGCTGAGAATTATGACTCATGATACTAGAAGATCCACAGGCAGTTCATAAATGTGTGGTTCTTACAGGCATTGTAAATGTTGTCGCTTCTGTGGATAGGAAGGTCTCATCCCCTCATTACATCTCTGAAATCAGAGCAGCAAACTAGTATTCCTCCATGAAACTGCTAGTCTTGGATGGTTGAAATGATCTCTGTGTTAAAATCAGCTGTGAACTTGATTAAAGAACCTTTGTAGAGCTACACCAAATACAACTAACACCACTGCCAGCTTTAACTCCTACATTTTCTGGCTTCTCTCCTGTTTATAACTTAGTAGTGGCCCTGCCTGCTGGAATGGGACAGCTTTGGCATGTCCCAAAGCTGAAACGGGAGAGGAGTATTTATTCCAGAAACTGCTCATTTCATGGCATTTTCTTATTTCCAATGATAATGATTTTTCTTGATGATATTTATGAGGACACGGTAGTTCCTCTTCTTTTACTAAGTCTTTACTACTGATCTCCTGAGTGTAGAACTTCATGTGCCTGCTATTGCTTTGACTTTGCAGCTATACGTGTCAGTTCTACACATGCGAATTGTATCTGCGCTGTATGCAAAGTGAACTAAATCTCTTCAGAAAGAAGTTGGGTTCACCTTGACTGTGTGGCAGAAATGGTCAGCGCATGTAGACATCTGTATAAACCTTAGATGGAAGTATGGCAGTCCAGCCTAAGCAGAAGTGTGACTGACCATGTCTGTGAGGACAAATAAACTTGGCAAAAAGAGCTAGCAGTAATATATGTGAAGAAGTGGTTAAGATTTGAGTCGTTTACAAGACTAACAGTGGTTGACAGGGAATCAAAAACTCTTTAATGTATTTGGGACATGGGGGAGAGTAGAGCTACTAGTTTTGAAGTGTGGCATCCTTAGGGTGTTTTAAGTCTAAGTTCAGAAAATTACCTGTTAGCTCGCAAGTTTTCCTCATTCTTCTGCAATCAAATTCTTCCTCTACTCCAAAGAAAAGCACCCTGTGCTTCTTCCCTTGTCTCTGAAATGCAATGGGTGGAAGATGTCAGGATGGGACTAACTGATGCTCTTTACCTCTGTCAGAAATGTTTTCGTGTAGATGAAGCTATGCAAGCCAGGGAGAGAAGAAAAAAGTGGTTTTGCCAGTATGGTGAGTTCTGTTTTAGTCAAAAGCTACACTAGTAAAAATATTCCCATTAGTAATATAACTAGCGTAGCAATTGTTGAAAACACTGGCAGAGTAGAAAAGCTCAGCAACAGAAGCTCCCCACCCCCAGGTGATGCTATGCCAGTATCGCATTTTGCACCAGCTGGAGCTAGAAGAATACTCTTAACTTGATTACCTGAACAGCATGACTTATTACTGCTAGAAAAGGCAGTAGAGAGAACAGTCGCAAAAGTCTCTTGATGTCTTTTCCTTGCTTTGAAAAATGCCTTTATTCTTCAGGGGACTGAAAGTCTTGCTTTGAATTCAAAACCAGAGAAATATTTGATGCAGTTAGTGAGATGGCTTGTTCTGGTCTGTCTCCCGCACTAATGATTTGTCTTTTTTGGTTTTGCTTGATAGGTGATTTTGTGTCATGCAAGAATCTACTTAAGTTTATTTTTAAAAGTTGCTAGAAAATGAAAGCAGAGCCTTGCAGTTCATTTACTTAATTTTTTTCTACAAAATAAGATATTAAAAATTATTATGCAAGGATTAAGGGAAGAGGATTTGAGAATTTTGAACTGTGGATCTTGCACCATTTTGAATAGTGCCATGTTGAGTGCTTATTAAATGGGACTGTGTTCCTATACTTTTTCCACAGCCTAACTGGATGCAAGTAAGAGGATCTGTGTTCAGTTTTAATGTTAACCTACCTGGAGCTCTCTGCTAGGTTTTTCCTAGGGGTGTAGCAAATTAATAAAAGTTGGAAGCGAGAACGTACAGGCAAAGGTAGTTTTGGAAGAAAATGGGTTTTGAAGAAACAGGTGCAGGAATCGGAACTGTGAACTGGCATGGCAGATCGGAATATGATTTTATCTTGTCCTGGACTCCCTGTGGGTGTGTCCATCTCTGCCTGGGCATAAAAGAGGGTGCTTGATGCTGCAGTGCCTTGACACCAGCATTGTATTCCTGCTTGAGGAAGCTGCTGCTGTATCTCAACATTAAAGCTGTGGAATTCAGATTCCAGTAAGCACTGAAATGGAGACATTTTATTCTCTGCTCTTCTTTCCCCCTTTTTACTTTTAAATCAAAAGCTTGTTAATGCAACTTACATCATATGCCATGCTTCTGAACATCTGGAAAATAACTGCTCAGGGAACTAAATGCTAGTCTTGGCACACCTGTGATTGGTGTTCCCAGGAAATAAAAATTGTTTTATCTATGGCTGTTTTCTTCCTTTAGAGCAGTTCTCTGTGCTGTCATAATTATCAGTTGTCTTGAAATCAAAGCCTAAAAATAGTTTTAATTTCCCTTCATACTACAGAGAGGTTTAATCACCCTGAAAGTACTTTGAGCTTTTTTTCTCCAGTTTAAAAGTTATTTATAGAGATACCTTAAATTCAAAATCTTGTGTGTTAGATGGAACCCAGGATATCCTCATTGCAGCTTGTAACAGGAGAAAAGATGCACTGAAATAAATATTCTTGTTAAGCTGGAGGTTGAATATGTAAAATCTTTGACTTCTAGCCTAAAAATTGCCATCTTCTGCTAAGCTGTTGTTGAAGGTCTTACCTAACTAAATTTGGAGTCTTAGGCTAGGTGAAAGCTTTTAAACTGTACACTCTTAATAGTTATTGTAGCTAAGCTGAAAAGATTCCTCATACAGGTATGGGAAACTCTTTTTAAAATATATCAACAAACAGATGCCTTGCTTCTTGTTCCAGATTTCCCTGGTTGTTAGAGGATAAGTGCATGTGCATACATCTCAAGTTTGTGTTCAGGAAATTACTATATGATTAAACACCCATTTTAATCTTCTCTTTCATTTTTCTAGTGAGTTCATATGGAAGAAATGCTGTGGCTGTTCTCAAACTCTCTTACAGACTGATTTCAATGTAAGTAATTGTTTGATCAGTATCATCAATTACATGGTGTGCCAGACATAGATCGGTGTACTTAATGAAAAGAAAAATAAATCACACATCTTTAAGTTTTCCTTAACCTTTTTCAAAGAAGTTTTATTTGTTCAGATTTCAGTTTTTATATGCCAGGTCAGAAGCCCTTCCTTCTGCGTGTTCAGACTTGTTAGTCACTCATCCATGGTTCAAGCTTACACAGGCTTCAAAAACTTCCTTTTTTTTTTTTTTTTTTAAAACACTCATAGCAGAGACCATTCACAGGAGAACCACTCACATGAGCTGTTGAGGATTTTTCTATACAGTATGTATTTCTGACAACTTAATTCTGATGTGTTTATTTTGCTCAGGTTTCAGTGTTGCTTCATCTTGTGTTGAGTAACAGAAGTTCTGCTGTTCATTGATCAATGTGACAGTCTTTAGTAGTTTACGAGATGAGCCAAACTCGTGGGAGATATGACTTCTGTATTGGTCTGGTGTTGGCTATGAGTTCCAGCATTTTCATCGGAGGAAGTTTCATCCTGAAAAAGAAAGGCCTTCTCCGGTTAGCTAGGAAAGGCTCCATGAGAGCAGGTAAATACATGTTTAAGAAACTTGCTGACATTTAAGTTTTGCTGTTTAACAGAAAATTACTAAACTTATGATCTTGTTTTGACTTTCTTTGTTACAGGTATATGAAACCTAAAACATACAGCTGATGTGTTTTTTCTCTGGTGTCAAGATACATCTAACTGTGTGTGATATATACTATTTAATTTGTGCGTAATGCCCTCTAGGGACACTTGCTGAACACTTAGTTTGTGTGTCAGTTAAATCTGAATTGTACTTGCAAATTGAACTTGGAACCAGCACTCTTAACTACATCTATGCTCCTGAATGAGTGAATTTAGGAGAATGTTAACTGCATTTGAGTGTCAGGAGATTGTTTTAGAAAACTAAAAATCACATGTAGTGATCGCATGTAACAAATGTGTTCCCCAAGGGTTCATACTGGAACCAGTACTATTTAATATCTTCAGCAGTGACATAGACAGTGGGATCGAGTGCACCCTCAGCAAGTTTGCAGGTGACACCAAGCTGAGTGGGGCAGTTGATTTGCCAGAAGGAAGGGATGTCATCCAGAGGGACCTTGACAGCTTGAGGAGTGGGCCTGTGCAAACCTCGTGAAGTTCAACAAGGCCAAGTGTAAGGTCCTGCACCTGGGTTGGGGCAATCCCAAGCACAAATACAGGCTGAGGGATGAAGGGATTAAGAGCAGCCCTGTGGAGAAGGACTTGGGGAATACTGGTGGATGAAAAATTGGACATGAGCTGGCAACGTGTGCTTGTAGCCCAGAAAGCCAACCATATCCTGGGCTGCATCAAAAGCAGTGTGGCCAGCAGGTTGAGAGAGGTGATTCTCCCCCTGTGCTCCACTCTGGTGAGAGCGCACCAGGAGTACTGCGTCCAGCTCTGGGGTCTCTAGCACAAGAAAGACACCTGCTCAAGCATGTCCAGAGGAGGGCCGCAAAACTGATCAGAGGGATGGAACACCTCCTATAAGGAAATGTTGAGACAGTTGGGGTTGTTCAGCCTGGAGGAGGCAAGGCTCTGGGGAGACCTTGTAGCAGCCTTTCAATACTTAGGGGAAGCTTAAAAGAAAGACGGAGAGAGACTTTTTACCAGGGCCTGTAGTGACAGGACAAGGGGCAATGGTTTTAAAATAGAAGGTAATAGATTCAGATAGGATGGTTGCAGCATCCTCAGATGATTCAGAGGGTTGAATCTGAATATTTTTAATTTGGTACCTGTCATCTCTGCTTCTAAAAGATGGTTGATCTCGAGATAAGTAATTCATGCTCCCTGATTTGCAATGGGAAAGTGTGACTACATTTCATACGTTTTCAACCACATAAACCACACAGGATTTCCACAAAGTAGCATTCTCATAAGAATACAAAACTTGGCTTTTCCTGTCATTACAGTGAGTTGAAAGAACTGTTTTTCAGGGCAGTGCAGATATGGTCATCAGTACCATTTCTAATACAAAAGAAATAAAATAAGTAGTTTTCAAAGTAGACTATAGGAGGCATATGCACATCAGAAATTTGAAGATTGTATTTCAACCCCTCTAACTATAAAGATTGCCCATATTTTTAAGGGCATGGGCTGCAAAAATTATTCTGGTGATGTCATTGGTGACAGGGCTTACTGTTTGATGTATGTTTTTAGTGGAGTAGTAAACATTCTTTCAATTTCAGGTCAAGGTGGTCATGCATACCTTAAGGAGTGGCTGTGGTGGGCTGGACTTCTTTCAAGTAAGTATCAAAAATATAATCTGCTTTATATAATTTCATTAAATGACTGTGCCACAGATGGCAGCAATGGTTACAAAATGTGAGCAAGATGGGGATTCTTGCTGTCTGGTGATTTGATGGGCATAGCTCTGATGATTTTAATACAACATCTCTCACTACAAATTCTTTCCTTAACTTTATTTTCCTCTTTGGGCAGTGGAACTAGGCAGACTTTAGACTTCTGTATCTCTTTGCTAGCACATGTGTTCTGGTTTTTGTCTTAGCAGAGAAGTGCTTAGATATACAAGATTATTTAGAGGGAAGCATATTTTGGGATGATGTCTGTTTTCTGAACTTTGGGGTTTTTTCATTGCTTAAACTCTGGACTTATTGGCTGTGCTCAGGTAACTATGGCTTAATGTATGCATTGCCCTGTATCCTGCTATTGCAGATTTCTCCATGCAGAAGTTCATGACTCAACGTTGGCAGGCTGGGGAGCTATAACATAGACACCAAAATAAAACACCTTCTAATTTGGCTCAATTAATTTTAATACCCGTTGTAGTCCCCCAGCCTGTTTTTAAGATATAGTAATGGGGGGTTTGTATTCTGCTAGTACTGTTAGCTGAATGCTATAATTAGAATTTTCCATTGTTTCCTTACTGCATGTTTGTGTCTACAAGAACACTTGCACTGATTCACAGGTTTGTTGCGTAAGACAGCTTAACTCCTTTTTTTTATTACTGTTATTACTCTGCAGTGGGAGCTGGCGAAGTAGCTAACTTTGCTGCCTATGCTTTTGCACCAGCTACGTTAGTGACTCCTTTAGGAGCTCTCAGTGTTCTTGTAAGGTAAGAAACACCAACAGCAGTGTGGTTTTGGAGAGAGAAGTAAAATAGTTATTTAGAAATGTGTCACTGAATTATGCTGTAATAAATGTGGTTTGTTCTTAACTATACATAAAGTGTGCTTATAAACCTCAGGAGTAACTTGTAAGTTTCTCCAAATGTGAAGCAACTATGCTCTAAAAGGGTTCTAGCAATGCATCTACACACCTTGATCTGTGAAAAGCTATCATCTTCTGCATTTCAAAAACATGTTGTATACAACATAGTATTTTAATTCCTAATTAGAGTTAAGATTTTTGTCTTTTAAAAATTTTTACAAGTGCTTAGATAGAAGTTTTGGGGAGGCAGCATAAAAAAGGGGTTCTGGGGAAAGATGCCAAATAGTAACAGGTAGTCCTGTGCATAGCAAGTATGTTGAGATAGAAATATCAACTAGGTAGCTATTTTAAGTAAATGCCTAATTAGTAGATTTACCGTAACTGATTTATGGACATTAATAATGTTCCTGCTCACCAAAAGCTGCACACCGTGTATGCTAGTGACCTGTACAGTGAAAGCAAGGTGTAAGTTGATGAGCAAATGAATGAGTTATTACTAATTCCATGTTTGCTGGTGCCTTTTTTTCTTCTTAGTGCCATTCTGTCATCCTTCTTTTTAAATGAAAAACTTAATCTACATGGAAAAATAGGGTGTTTGCTAAGTATACTGGGATCAACTGTGATGGTAATTCATGCTCCACAAGAGGAGGAAGTAGAAACTTTGAATGAAATGTCCCACAAACTAGGTGATCCGGGTAAGAAAAATGCTGTCTTTATATGTCTGTAGCCCATCATTTCTTTATTATAGTTTCATTACTGCTGCTTTCAAGTTCCAGGAAGATAGCCCGTGTCTGCTTCATGTTGTCAGAATGAAATAGATACTTGAGTTCTGTGACATAATTCCACAAGCAGCTTTGCATGATGCCAGTGAACTTGTCTGGCCTCGAACAAGGTGTCTTCATGTGAACCACTGAGATGGCAGTTTAAACAAATGCAGCAACACAGCTGAATAAACACAGCTTCTGTAAATTTTGACTGAAGTGCATCAGTCTCTAAGTCCAACTTTGAGCTATCCTTAAAATGACATAAGTAGGTGCTATGGCAAGTGTCTGAGAAGTGTAATCCTGGAGACTAGCTCCTACGCTTACATGGAAGATGAGGCACTTGCAAATACACATCTGCAAAATACTATATATGCAAAGACAAATCCCATTTGAAACACGGGGAAATAGCCAGCACAGAGATTAAAAAGCTGATCTTAAGGAATGACCTGATTATTGGAAATCCGCTGATGAAAGTTGCAGCCTGCCAAAACATAACTGCCCTAAACAGCATTCGGACAGAAGCCTGTATCCAGTAGTGTCTGCGTGTAAGGCAATACAGCAATCTAATCCTGTAGTCATCTTGCTGATGGACTGATAAAGGTAATACAACATGCCTGAGTTTGATTCTTTGTTTTAGCTAGCTCACTCTAAAATTGTTTTAACTTTGATGTTGGAGGAGTAACGAGAAACATCCTGAACTGTTCTGTTAAAAGCTGAGCCAATTGTATTGTTAGTGTTTTCTCAGTACCTCTAAGATGCTTTTGGTAATGTACATAAATAACAAGATTTTTTTTTTTTTCCTCCCCAACCACAGGTTTTGTGGTCTTCGCAACTCTTGTTGTCATTGTGTCTTTAATTCTAATATTTGTGGTGGGACCTCGCCATGGACAGACCAACATTCTTGTGTACATAACAATTTGCTCTGTAATTGGAGCATTATCAGTCTCCTGTGTAAAAGGTTTGGGCATTGCTATAAAGGAACTTTTTGCAGGAAAACCAGTGCTGAAACATCCCTTGTCTTGGATTCTGCTGCTAAGCCTTATTGTCTGTGTGAGCACGCAGATCAACTATTTAAACAGGGCTCTGGATATATTCAACACTTCGATAGTGACTCCAATATACTATGTAATATTTACAACATCTGTTTTAACTTGTTCTGCCATCCTTTTCAAGGAATGGCAACACATGGAGGCTGATGACATTATTGGCACCTTCAGTGGCTTCCTGACTATTATTGTGGGGATCTTTTTATTGCATGCCTTCAAAGATGTTAATTTCACCCTAGCAAATCTGCCCCTTTCTTTGCGCAAAGATGATAGAGCAGCAAATGGTACTTTGCTGAGCACATATGACTGCTTTAATCATGATGAAGAAAGTTCTGCCTGCCTAGGTGAAATACAATCCACTGAGAGTCTCTCAGCCAGGAGAAATGGAAGTCTGTCAGCCTTCTGAAAATACCTGTATGTTACTTAAGAACAATTCTGTAACTCTGGATTTTTTTTTCTGCTGTGAAGTGTCTGAGCTTGTCTGGAAAATCATGTACTTTTTAACAGTATGTGTAGACAATCGTTAATTTTTAAGTTCAATTAGTTTGGATAAAAAACACTGAAGGGGTTTTTATTTGCCTTATTTTTACTTTAAAAAAATACTAAAATGACCTCAGACCACAGTTGGTTTTGTTGCTTAAGTTATGTGTAAATACTTTCATTACATTCTTCTGTTTTAAGATGTATTGCACTAATGACAATTTTATCAAAAATAAATGGCTTTATTTCTGCATTGGTGGTAAAAAGATAGCAGTGAACCTGGATCCTTTGTACTTGTGCCCTGAGTGACTGTAAACATACTAAAACAGGAGCTGCAGTAACAACTCTTGTCCCAGTTTGTAAAAGAGGAAAGGGAAAGCTACAACCAAGCAAGACTAATCCTTTGATAATACTGCTTAACTAAAGCTGTATGCTAAACTTGCAGGACTTGCATCAAAAAAACCCCCTCAACCTAACCTAATCAGCGTAACTGGCTGGCAGCAGCAACAAGGCAGGAGCTTCTGCTCTGCTTGGATAGGTGAGGCTGTAGCTCCTGCCACACCAGTCTATGCAGGAGGAAGGATCTGAGTCTTTAATAGCAGCCAAAAAGAGCTACTCCCTTTTCTGCAAAAGAGGTCAGGTTCTGTTTGCTGCAGCACACTCCCCTGGCTAGCTCTGTAGAGCTGCTCTGTGGTTTTGGTGTTACAGCTTGAACTCACAGAATTGCCATTTTGTTTGCAGTAACACAGCCGCTGGCTGTGACACGAAAGTTTTTAAAAAAGGGCCAAAAAATTGGAGCATAACATCATTGCTTAAAAAAGGGGTGTGAGGCAGGTAGGTGGCAATTTAAACTTGCAAAGGCAGAAAATAAAAATCAGTGATACAGGTTTTATAAGAATATTTCTACCATAGATGTGAAGGTTAGAAATTATTTGGGACAGAGACAACTAGTTACTGCTCTAAGTTGCCAGTTTTAGTGCTGACTGTTTTAAGAGTGTAATTTATTAGTAGGACAAAAAAACCTGTTCCCACCTGTGAAACTAACTCTGCAGCCTTCCTTTGGTATATGTCATAATTGCACGGGGGAGGGGTCCAGCAAGAAAAAGGTTCTTTAAATTCTAGTTGAAGAATGGGATTTGAACTTCTACCTAATTTTAAGGGACATCACATCAGCAGCACCCAGACACATCACTCTAAGGCTTACACAACAAAGCACAGTAACAGGGAGCAGCAGGGAAGAAGTCAAACTGCCAAGGAATCACTGAACTCTGGGTTGCCACTTGTAGTACTAAAGCACCAGCCTATCCAAAGAGCAGGTTATGATTTCATACAGGGGAGTCTTACTTTATGTTTTGAGAGGCACTTTGGCCTCCACATCCACTGTTTTTGATGAGAAAATAATTAAAAATTAAAAAGTTACACCTTTTGTGTACCTTGCTGCATTTTTCCTTTTAGGTAGGAGAAGCAGTTACACCAGGTGAAGAGGTTTTAGCTCCCATCAAGTCTAATAATGCTGCTGGGAAAAAAAAGTAACCTACCTTTGAAAAACAGGAAACAAACATCTCATAAGACTAATGTCTGAAATCTCTTAAATGCTTACAAAACAGAAAAAAATTATCATAAAATAATTATCAATGCTAGTAGTTTTAAGATGTTAGAGACCAATTCTCTTACTGCTGAAAGTTAACTTGGTAAGAACTAGAACTTACTTTACTCACCTCATGATCAGTTATTTTTAAATAGTTAAACAAAAAATCAGGCTTTATTAATTAACCATTTCTGTACCACAGTGCCAAGCCAAAGCCTCAGGTGTGTGAGACTTGATCCCTAAACCAATGATTATCTCAACAAATTAACGAAGTTGTTCATTTCCTTAACTGAAGCAGGAAGCATTTGGTTGACTAGAAGTCAGTCGTCTGAGAACAAGAAACTTTTCTTGAAAAAAACTGTCTGTTAAGCACCTTTTAAAAGAAATCCTGCAACAAGCTAGCATAACAAAGCACAAGCATTTCCTACTTCTGTCTCCCATGCCTTGTGCGTGCTCTCACCACAACAGAGACCACTCCAGAATGGCAGCTCTCAAGCACAGATGTCCCAGGAAAACCTGTGGTAGTGGCAATTTGCTTATAGATTGCCTAGCAAATCTCCATCCTTTGTTTTGCTGAGGAATTTCAGTTAATTTCTTTCCTCAAAATCCAGTTCCCTACTGCCCCAGTACCCACACATTCCTCATGTCCTGCATACCTCCTCTGTCAGACATCATTTCTACCCATTATGGGACTCGATTCCGTTGCTGTGAAAAATCTGAAAAGAGCTGAGCAGGAGAAAAGATGAGCTGTAACCTAACCTGGAACTAGTAAGCGGGAAGGGAGAAAAACAGGTTCTCACAGGGATGCATTCTTGGTTTCACACTATGGGTTAGAAACACTAACCAAGTAACATATCCAGGAATCCATATCCTGGGTAAAATGTGTAATTATCTGTGTCTGTTCCAGCCATCTTAACTCACGTTTGCTTTGGGTTGATCCTAACAACCAACTGAAAAGCTGTGTTAGAATCCTGCAGTAAGCAAGCAGGAGTTACTACTTCTGGCTGAACAGGTTGCTTTAAAATTCAACTTTTACAGTTGCAAAGTTTTACAAACAATTTTACTGATGTGGTGTTTGCATAATACAGTAAGTGTAATTAAACAAATACTTTCCATAAGTAAATCATGATTAATATCATTAGAGCTTACGTACTGGGATAGATTACACCTGATCACTGTAGACAAGATTCTTGTAAACAAGAATTCCATATCACTTGTAAACATGTATTTTGGTACACGGGTATGTATCGCCAACCAAAATACAAATTGTGTTAGAAGCTCTCGTTAGGAAAAAGTAAACAGTCCCCATTCTAATCAGTCAAACTACTGCCTTTTAGAAAGATCTGAATACTATCAGTCACTCCATGTTAAATCACTTTAAACAATCACCTTAATTAGCCTTCATTTCCATAATTGCTGATCTCAGAGAATAGTTTTGCAAAGAAGAAAGATAATCAACTGACTAGAAAAATTATTCACAAAGCACCAGCATAGTTGATTTGTTTTTTTTTAATAAAGGCTAATTAAGCAATTAATGCTCTAATAGAAACAATTAGGAATTGATTTCTAAAAAATTTTTTTCTACAGAACCCAGTTTCTCATCCTCCACAGCTATTATTTTGATACCTTCAATGTAAAATTATTCCAGTCCAGTCTAATATGGCCACTTCAGTACAGGAATGCAAAGAGATTTCAAAAATCTTTTACAGTCGCAGGTTTTTAATCAAAGTGTATAAAATTTTTGCCTAGAAAAATAAGTATGGATTGTATACAGTTACTGTGCTTGGAGACTGAAGAGGACAGTGCACCACTCAAATGGCAGAGGCATACTGAGAAATGCAGATGAGAGTTTTCCTTAAAACTGTTGGTGTGGTTTTTGTTGTTTTTTTCTCATACTTCTAGCCTAAACAGGTGCAAAAAGTATTGTTAGGTGGGAAGTCTAGTTGCTGGCAAGGGACTGATGAATAGGTGGCTGGAAGCAGCGCACATGTTCCACAGGTGTGCTCTCTCCATCGCCGGACTTCAAATACTTGTCCAAAATAGCAATTATTTCATCATTCAGAATCTGGAACTTGCGAATTCTCTCAACCATTTTCTTCAAAGGCTGCAAACATCAAAAAAGCAGACACACAGGAATTAGCTTTGGAGATGATAAAGCCTTAGACACAAAAGCAGCAAATGCTGTTACCTCACCTCTCCCAGCAGCGTTATGAATGTTTCCCTTCCACTGCTAATCCAGTGAAAATCCAAGGTGCATTTTGGTTTTTGACAGTGCTGCTTTTTGTACAAAAAAGGGAAATGTACAGCAGCCTTGTCATAATCCGAATGCACGTATATGAGATGGAAAGCATTAAGAAAATCCCACGTAGTCAGGAAATCAGAATTCTTACTGACTAGTCTTCAAACTCCAGTACCAATGCCTTAATCTTTTGTTCCTAAAACCCCTGGTGCCCTCATTTTCAGCATTTCATTCTGAAAAGTGATTGCTGCATCTACACTGCATCCGAGTACAAACGGCTCTGATTTAGTGTTGTCTTTATTACTACAGCAAATACACAACAGATGTTTTCAACTCACCACATTCTTTATAACCTCATCTTTGCCATCATGCTTTTGGACTTTCAACAGGTGGTAGCAGAAATCCAACACATCAAAGCGACGCTGCTGTCCCAAAAGCACGATGATCATACAGCCAGCCCAGTGCAAGCCGTCTCCAAAGCACTGCCTGAGACAGAAAACACACCACATAAAGCACGTTTTGCCTAAATCTTCAAAAACATACCCATAGGAAATGCTCAGTCATCAGCCATTATACTAAACTACATACATACCACTCTAGAATATGTTAGACATTAATCTATAAAACACTGCAAAATCTCTAGTAAATTAAGTTCTCTTTCCAGATGAGTGATGCAAATGGATGCTTAAAAAACCAGAAGCCCCCCCAGTTTTATACAACGTAGAGTTACTCCAAAAACATTTACTCCCCATTAGACTCCAGCAGCATTACATTTCATTTTCAAAGGAAACAACACTTTAAAAGAAAACAAAGTGGGAATTTAACACCACTCTGCTCCTTTGGACTACAAACATGAAAGGAAGGAAACGTCCTATGCTGTTGCCTCCATAATTGCTTAGTGAAAAGCACATTACAGCTCACCAGTTTTTCAAAATAAGGATATTATCAAAATTACAAAACCAAGACCAACAGTTTCTGGTTAACTCATGTTAATCATGTTAACTTCCAAGTGCTCATTCTTGCTCTTAATTCAGAGAATAAAATATTTGTTAGAAATAAATAAAATAGCTGAACATTGGTGCATATAAGTTCAGCATCCGTAGGGGTCTGACTACTATTGAAAGACACGTGCTAGGGCCTGTTTGTCATGGGATCATTCATTACACACTGGCAATACTTAAAATAGAGGACTATTTTCATTAAAGACAATAATATCTGTGTTCATGGATTATGAGCCCCTCCCAGTGATCGCAGCACTTTCCCTTGTTTTCGCACTAAGCTCTTACAGCCGGGCAAACAAACCCCTCCATTCTAACGCTTTGCACCCCCCTGCCAGTTACAGGGAGGACAAGCAAAGTACTGTTGCCCACAGGTGGACCGCTGGCAGCTGGCAGTACGTACTCCACAGTG